TCTTCTGTTTTTATTTCTGTCCTCTTGCTTTGTCCTCTTATCAGTTTATGCGTCAATCTGTTATCTGAGGAAATTTCCTGAATGGACGTTAACCTGGCTGACGGCAAGCTTTCTTGAAAATGGAATTGTTGATTTCTGAAACTTCCCTCTAATTCTTTTCTGAAAACCGTTTCAAAGTTCCATTCCACCCCTTTGTGTTGGGAATTTGTTTTAATTTAAAGGATATTTATTTTCATCTGGCAAGATGTCCAAACTTCAAAGCTGAAGTACAAAAGTTGAATGTTGAAACATCTTGCAAAAACCTCTAGGCCCTTGGTCTAAAGCAGTGCTTCTCATCCTTGGCAAGCTTAAGATGTGTGGACTTCAACGCCCAGAATTCCCTAGCCAGCATTCTGGGAGATGGTCCACACATTTTAATTTGCCAAGGTTGAGAAATGCTGCTCTAGACCAACGTTGCTTAATCTTGCAAAGCTCATAAAAATTAACTTATGAGGTAACTTGTGTTACAAGAGAACACTTAATATTGTAAACAGAAAATAGCCCTACAAACCAACAGCCACATTGAAAATAGTTAGTTCCCAGTTAAATTAATTTAGAAGATTGCATTTGTTGGAAAAAGTATTGGGAGAGTATCTTAAGAAACAAGGAGGAGGAGAAAGGAGGAAGTGGGGGAAGGGTGGGAGGAGGAGGAGGAGAGGAGGAGGAGGAGGAGGAGGAAGTGGGGGAAGGGTGGGAGGAGGAGGAGGAGAGGAGGAGGAAGTGGAGAGAGGAGAGAGGAGGAGGAGGAGGAGGAGGAGGAGGAGGAGGAGAGAGAGGAGGAGGAGGAGAGAAGAAGAAGAAAGAAGAAGAAGAAGAAGAGAAGAAGAAGAAGAAGAAGAAGAAGAAGAAGAAGAAGAAGAAGAAGAAGAAGAAGAAGAAGAAGAAGAAGAAGCAGCAGCAGCTTCTACTGATAAACAGGGAGAGGTGATCACCTTAGGCAACTGATTGTACATGTTCTACAACAGCTCCTTATTGCTCTTCTTTTAATTATTATTTTTATTGCTAAAATACATTTTTTTTGGTCAAAATATATTATTACTGTGAGATATGAATATCGAGCAACCCCAATGCTATGGGAGGTCAACATGGCATTCATGTAAAGATTATAAATCTACACTCTGCATCCAGACTAAATTATAGCTGTCTTCAGGAAGCATTTCATGTCACCGAATGATGGACAATTCATTCTGCCTTAGCCAAGGTAGATGATCTAACTGGCCAAGGCTCCCTTTAGAAGTAAATCTCTTTGGGCTGCCAATCCAAAATCATCCTGCTTCCCCTCCCACTCCTATAATGAATTTAATTTTTATTATTTTGATAAGAAGCAAAAAGAGGGGAGAATGTGATGAAAACCATTACATCTGGATGTCCCCTAACATTCTGTAAAAAAGGCAGAACAGCTACAGGCTAAAAAAGCTGCTCTGGATACATTCCAGTAGGTAAGGAAGAGAACAGGCAGCCTATGAGTGCATCGACTAGAATGGATAGCCAAGACTAGAATGGATAGCCAAGACAGGGGACGTTTGGCAGAATTACAAACTGCAGATCCTCTCTCAGTATCTTCTCCAGTTGAGGCCTTGATCCTTCTTCCTTATCCTTTCAGAAAACAGTAGCTAAAGGATTAGACCCACCCAAGAAGTGGCTTTGGTAGTTTTCTAGCAGGGTCTCCGTGTAACTGGAATACAGGTAGTCCTTCATTTATGACCGCAACTGAGCCCAAAATTTCTGTTGCTAAGTGAGCCATTTGTTGAGTGAGTTTGGCTCCATTTTACAAGCTTTCTTGCCACAATTATTAAGTGAATCACTGCACTTGTTAGTCATGCGGTTGTTAAGTGAATCTGGCTTCCCCATTGACTTTGTCAGGTCAAAAAAGATGATCACATCACCTTAGGACACTGCAACCGTCATAAATATGAGTCGGTTGCCAAGCGCCTGAATTTTGATCATGTGACTATGAGGATGCTACAACAATCATAAGTGTGAAATGCTCCCGGTTCAGACCGGATCGCCCGATATGGTAGCGATGGAGACGGGTAGTTCGGAGAACCCGTAGCAAAAATCCCTGCCCCTCCCCCATGCCCAGTGAGCCACACGATCACCAGAGGCTTTTAAAAAAAATTTTAAAAGCATTTTTTCAACAAACTCTTTGTCCGAAAACATGCTTTTAAAAGTAAAAAAAAAAAGCCTCTGATGATCGTGCGGCTCAACTGGGATCGTCAAAGGCTTTTAAAAGCATTTTTTCTACAACCTCTTCGGCCGAAGGGGTTGTAGAAAAAATGCTTTTAAAAGCTTCTGACGATCCCAGCTGAGTTGCCTGATGAGGCTTTTTTTTCTTTTAAAAACATTTTTTCTACAACCTCTTCGGCCGAAGAGGTTGTAGAAAAAACGCTTTTAAAAGGCTTTGATGATCCCAGCTGAGTTGCCTGATCAGCAGAGGCTTTTAAAAGCATTTTTTAACAACCGCTTTGGTCAAAGAGGTTGTAGAAAAAATGCTTTTAAAAGTTTTAAAAAAAAAGTTGGCCACGCCCACCATCACATTACCCTCCTCCCACCAAGCCACGCCCACAGAACCGGTAGTAACAAATTTTAGATTTCACCACTGGTCATAAGTCACTTTTTTCAGTGCCGTTGTAACTTTGAATAAACAAACTGTTGTAAATTCAGGACTATCTGTACTTTGTCAAGGTAAATATTGAAAAGAGCAATGCAGAGATAGATCAGATTAGTATCTGAAAGGGTCATCCAGCAAGTCAAAAATGCTGGGCAAAACTACTGTCAAGGTGCCTTGTCCACAAGATTTGAGCTTGGCCCAAGGGCTTCTGGACCCAGACTGAGAATGAAACACATTTCCAGTTGTACCAGAGAATGTTTTATATGCTACCCTGATCAAGGAATCCCCAGCAGTGCTTTATGTAGCAAGGGGGGCAGTCCTGTGCTGAGAAAATAAAAGCAAACCTTTCAGGATATTACCCTGGAAATCTTCAGAAATCAATGGAGCATGTCTGTCTCCCCAGACACGCTTTCTCGGACCATAGGGTTGTGAGACTTAAAACAGAGCTACTTGACAAATTGCAGCAGGAGGCTGCAGAATTAACACATTTAATTAAGCCTCTCAGGGCTCAGACCAGCAGTATACGCTGTTCAAACAAACAGGGAAAGGAAAGAGCTGAGCTACCAACTTTAGCATCCTTAGGCTAGAAAGACGGCAAGAGTATGTTTTCCATGGAGGTCTTGTGAATAGGTCAATGAGATGAGATTTCCCATCAGTATTATCTCTTCCCCCATCAGTGAGAATTCCTGGTTAGGGTAAACACTTAACCAAAAAGGACAAAAGAAATTAGAGATACAGAAATGTGCTACTCCAGGGGTCTCCAACCCCCGGTCTCCTGACCAGCCCTTGTCTGCAGCATGGCAGAAACTGGTCCACGCAAACAAGCAAACCTCCATCTGCAGGATGCAGGCAGCACGCGAAACCATGCCACCTCCGGTCCGCAGAAAAAACCTCTCTCCATTGAACCAGTCCCTGGTGCCCAAAAGGTTGGCGGCCTGTCCTACTCTTTGCATTGACCTCAGACAGTGGCAAAGTGTGTGAAAAGGACCCCCATCACAGGTGCCCATCCTAACCATGGGCCATGATGGCACAGTGGTTAGAATGCAATATTGCAGGCTAACTCACTGCTCATTGCCAGGAGTTTGATTCTGACCGGCTCAAAGTTGACTCAGCCTTCCATCCTTCTGAGATCGATAAAATGAGAACGTAAATTGTTGGGGGCACCATGCTGACTCTGTAAACCCCTTAGAGAGGGCTATAAGCGCTATGAAGCGGTATATAAGCCTAAGTGCTATTGCTAACATCAAGCCCTGAATAGAGCAGAGGTCTTCAAACTTGGCAGCTTTAAGACTTGTGGACTTCAACTCCCAGAATTCTCCAGCCAGTTGAAGTCCACAAGTCCTAAAGCTGCCAAGTTTGAAGACCTCTGGAATAGAGTGTCATCATCACTATTGTCAGCCATTCAGTTGTGTCTGACATCTTCCCAATTCCTTGGTGTTGTCCCAGCCAGCTTTTTTCAAATGTGGAAACCAAATTAACACCCACTGAGTCAAAGATAGCTTCTATCTACACAGTCATCTTTTGCTCTTGTTCCTGCCATTGTTTCAGGATGAATGAATGTAGTTCAGCCACATATAGACCTAGGCCTGAATGAAGTTGTCTGTTGTGGCCTGTCGGCTGCCGACCGACAGAGAATGGAGCTGTCAGAGATAGTGATAGAGGCAGAGACAGAGCCTGGGCCGTCCATCAGCCTCCAGGTCTGGAGATGGCTGATGAGGAAGAGGAGGAACAGCTGAGTCCAGTGCCTGACGCACGGATGCATAGAAGGCAGAGGAGAGGAGAGTAGTAGAAATCTATGGACCGATCCTTGGAATGGAAGAGTCACCGCTGCTAGCGAAGCCTGACCCTAACTTTCAGGACAAAAGACAGGGGTGGAGATGAAAAGGTGTGGCAGACAACTATTCATCTCCCTGCCGGACAGGCTTGTTAGCCTGCTGTGAGAAGAGAGAGAGAGAGACTTTTTGCCGGGGCTGCTGGTGCTCACAATAAAGGGAATATTTATTTAACTACAGAGGGTTTGTAGTGTTTGGGAGCTGGGTCAGAACATTGTCTCTTCAAACATCATAGAAAAATCATGCTCCCTTTATGTTTTTTAATCCTAATATTATGCAGGTTGGACACTGTCCAATGTCCAGTGTCCAGTCCTTCAGTGCCATTGGGACCATAATATTATAGATCATTATACAGGTTGATGCATTCCAAAAGTTCAATATTGAAAGCATAATTGAGAGTCAGTTTGGTCTAGTCTAGCGGTTAAGGCACCAGGCTAGAAAGCAGGAGGCTGCGAGTTCAATACCTGCTTTAGCCATTAGGTAATTTGCAAAAATAATAAAGGCAGGATACAAATAAATATAATTAAATAAGTGATATTTATTATTACTGAGTAATTGTAATCAATACAATTGATTAAATAATACTTGAGACTTAACAGTATATAGAACAATCAAACAATAAGCAATTATAAGGAATTCATCCCCTCCAAATATCTGAGGCTTGTAGCATATAAGCCAATCAAATCAGCAAGTTAATAGTCATTAGAGTATTTAAAACATTAGATATAACATCAGAAAGGAAAAGAGTTCAAAGATGGGGAAGCAGATTACAAGAAGTGATTCACTTCAATAGAGCATGCAGAGAGATTATCCTTAAATGGGAAAAGCAGAAAAATAAATCTTAAAAAATGCAACATTACAGCTTGGAACATCAAACAGCTAGTTTTAAAAACTTTACTCTGTAGAAATGGAAGCAGTTTTGTAAGAACACTGCCATGTTAGTCTGTAAAAATATTGTTAAAAATGAAATTAGAAGAACCAAGATCTCCGGAATTTGTGATGCCTTGACGACGCCTCTCCCCACTTGGGTTTTTATGGCTTTCCAAGTCATCTGATGCCAATTAATATGTGATATGGAAGCACCACTAATCTATTTCAGGAAGCTATCCCTGCTGGGTTTTTAAGTATTCCTTCGTTGGCCAATTACTTTCCCACTTATTTCTCTTGTTAAAAAGAAGGTTCAGCTATTTTAAAATTATCCTTTCAGGTTTTTATTATTATTATTATTATTCATTCCCAGGGCAAGTTTCTAATGAAGTTAGGAAATCTTATCTATAATCTTGTTAGAGGGAGCCCTTGACCGTCTCCCATACCTCTTTATTAAGGGAAGAAAGGTAGATGAGGTCTTTTCTCCATTTCGAGTTTGTTTGCTTTACGCCATGTTAAAATCATTCCATGATTAATACCACCAAGATGGACACTGGAATTGCCTGAAATATCCTTAAAAATACATAGAGCAAAAATGTCATGCAGTCAGTGGCATACAATGATAACAAACCTATAGAGACAGTACCATGAACACTGAGCCACCATTAAGGCTGATCTAATTCCACAATTTTGCAGATTCATGATGTAACTATTGTTATTCATTTAATTTCATTCCATTTGTGTACCATCTAATGTCTCAATGACTCCTGATATATAATCCTAATCATAACTCAACAGTTACAAACATTTATGATAAGTATTGATCCACAAAATCAATTAAACATCATAATAACATAAACAAGTCAAATAATAATGTAGAATTTGCTACGTTTGGCTTCTACATTCTATACTTGAGCAGATCTAGAAACCTTATGCTTATGATCAGGACTCTAAAATTATGTGACACAGGTTGTAGTCTGATAAATACAGGGTATTTTTCCCCTTGCCAGTTATTATGCAACTATTTTCCATATTATAATATTAGCTAACTTTGAGTATTTTTAGTGGGAAGGCAAAATATTTAATTTTAATATTTAATTTAATGTTAAAATTCAGTTATGCCTCAGCCTACTGATTTCAATCAGTTACGTCTTTAATACCAAGTGGCTTATGCTGGTTAGGGATTATGAGAATTGGTCCAACGCATATGGATAACATTAGACTATATAAAGTCCTGGACATCTCATTCATGGAGAATAATTGCAATTAACGTGAATAGAATTTTAGAAATGCATTCATGCAAGGCATATTAACATATGAAATCCAGAATCCAGTAGAGCAATGTTTCTCAACCTTGGCAGCTTCGAGATGCGTGGACTTCAACTCCCAGAATTCCCCAGCCAAATCTGTGTTGAAGTCCACACATCTTAAAAACTGCCAAGGTTGAGAAACACTGCATCCAACAAAAAGTATGGATATTATCTGACATCACTGTTAAGGCACTACTTTCTTCTTTGTGTATCAGGGCAGACATAGAGCTGAACATTATCTCTGCCAAACAAATCCGTTAGATGTAACCATCGGAACAAATATATGATATTGGTTGCTCAACTGTGATTTAGCAACACTGATCATCTGTTGGTGAAGAAAAATGATCTGTTTCAGTTTTGTCCTCCTGGAACAATTTGGCCAAGAGGCTTCTCAAAGGGATTCATTAGCATCTCTCACCTGTATTACACAGGCGGAGTAGACAATAAATAAGCCCTGGGGGATCCATTAAATTAAATCCAATAAATACAGAAAGTACTAAAAAGAAATTCACAAGCGAAGTTTCACCATACAGAGCCTGGAGGAAAACAATCTGATTACAAACCAGATTGACGTTCCATCATTTCATGCGAATGCATTTTTATTTGTTTAATACAGTGTTCTGGTAAATGGGCAGTTACCAATACTGCAACACATGTTTTATGGGATTGAATCAGCATTTTCTGAACTTTTATACAAACACATCTTCATACAAATACATTTTCAATTAACCAAAATTAGAACACAAAGGGGAAAAAACAAACTTAATATTCACGATGCATTTGGTTGTACTCATTTACTGTATCTGAAACTTCTCGTATCTTGAAGGAAACTCAAGATACTGTATTATACAAATTCTGTATTTGTGAACAATACTTTTTGATTCATTGAACTGAATCTTGTGTCTTCAGTCACCGGAATGGGAAATGTTCTTGGGGCTAAAGTATCATCAAGGACTCACAGCTGATTATTCTAAGTGCTGGATCTCAACGGTTTGGCATACACAGGTTGCAGAAGGTGGTGAGTCAGAAGCAAAAACATACATCCCAGGAAAACCACAGTTAAAACGAAGAGCAGGATGAAACGGCCAATGAAGAAGGTGTCTACAACCTGAGAATATAACACCGTTAAGTCACAATTGTGGCTGGAGATCTCTTCAGCATTAGATGTCATTAAACTGAAATGTGTTGCATCAGTCTTGGCAGGTGCTAAAGCTCCCTGCATATTTTCTTGACAACTGAGATGAGTTGGTTGGGGACTGAGCAGGGCTGTTTCATTTGAAAAAAAATGCAAAGAAGAGCAACTAAGATGATTAAAGGTCTGGAGACTAAAACATAAAGAACAGTTGCAGGATTTGGGTTTGGCTAGTCTAGAGAAAAGAAGGACTAAGGGTTAACAGTATTCCAGTATTTGAGAGGATGCCAAAAAGAGGGGGGGGGAGGGTTCAATTTATCCTCCAACGCACCAGAGGGCAGGACAAGAAACAATGGGTGGAAACTAACCAAGGAGAGAAGCAACCTGGAATTAAGGAGAAACTTCCTAACAGTGAGGACAATTAACCAGTGGAACAGGAGCTGCCTTCAGGAATTGTGGGTGCTCCATCACTGGAGGTTTTTAAGAGACTAGACAGTCACTTATCTGAAACGGTATAGGGTCTCCTGCTTGACTAGGAGGACTAGAAGACCTCCAAGGTCCCTTCCAGCTCTATTCTGATTCCTTTGTGGCCCCTTCACTTCCACAATCACTTCTTTAGGGAGGCTTGCTTGATACATACTTGCACTAGCTTTTCTGATGGGTGTGTGTGCGGGTTTATTCTCCCAAACTTTTAAATCCTTGGTGCCTAAATCTACTTGTAGTCACTAGTATTTTTAAAAAAATAATAGAGTGATTTTATTTATATATTTATTTTTGCATTGCTTTGATTTTACTAATTGTATTTTTTTTTTTCAAATTACAGTAGTGGCCAAAATTGTGGAAACCTTTTGGGAAAAGTTTATTTTCTAAAACTAGCTAATAACACCACTTTTTTTTTGGAATAGTACCATAACATTATATATCAATGGAAAGATAATTTAATCAAGAATGTAATGCAATAACTTATGAATGATTTGCTATTAGAATAGCAGTTACAGTATAAAGAAGAAAAGTGAAACACATAGAAAAAATGAAATATACAAAAATTATCACCATGTCAAGTTAATAGTTGGGTAAACTTTAGCATGAATTACGGCCTTACAGCGTCTTCCCATGGAGTGAACCAAGTCTTTTAGTTCTGCAGCTGTTATAATGTGAAACCAAGATTGAATGATGGCTTCTATTAACTGAGTTTTATTGCTGGGTCGCTTCTGACTAACAAGTTTCTTTAGTCGACTCCATAGATTTTCAATTGGGTTAAGATCTGGGCTATTCCCAGGCCATTCTAGCAGTGGAATATCTTGAAACTCCAAAAAAAAAAAAAAAAAAAAAAAAAAGTGATGTTATTAGTGATATTATCAAACCTCAAAAATACACTTTTCCCAAAAGGTTTCTACAATTTTGGCCACTACTGTACTTACTAAAACACAACTGAAATGCAGCACATAAATAAGCAAAATAGAGAAGCACTACGAATAGAAGAGCACTGCAAGATATGGTCAAAAACCTATTAAACCTGCATTCTCTTCTCACTCTAGCTGATCATATCCTACCAGGAACCCGCAAACACAAAGATGGACAATGATGGCAACTTTGTGACCCGTGGACTTCAACTCCCAGAATTCCTGAGCCAGCAGGAAATCTAGGAGTTGAAGTCCACAGATTGTAAAATTTTCATAGTTGCCCACCCCTGTGCAAGCAGGACCTCTCCTGGCTCCAGTTTCCCAATGACGTTTTCCTTGGCCTCCTAATATTAAATGCAGTTTCATAGGTTTGGGGGAAGGTTAAGCTCCTAATAGGTGGAATTTGGAGTTCCTTTATATAATTTCTTTCCAACTTTCTATTGAGTTAGAAAGAAAAAAGAACAAATACGCAGAAATGAATAAAGAAACCAAGGAAACATCCAAGGTGAAAATAATTTCAGACTCCAATATAGGCTTGAATAGAGGCATCTGTTTCACTCCATGTGGCCTGGCCTGGTCACTCAGAACTTAGACAGTAACTATGGACAACCTATCTAAAATATATAATTTATATTTTATATTTCTTAACCATTCATCCCCTTATGATGTATTTACAAACCAGGGCAGAGGGGGATAAAAGGAATTAAAAACTTTTGATTGCACACAAAAAGACATACAAACACGCCAATTCATGCTTCGAGTATGAAACGTACAGTGTATGATCCAATTTGTCTTTACCCCAGCAAAGAGAGAAGCAATGCAAAAATCAACTTTTCAGCTTCTGGGCCTACATGATCCTCTGTGTTGAGTGAAGGCAAGTTTCACAAAACAAGATTAATGCAAGTTTGACCTCTCCTGGCTACAGGACAAACCTCCTGTGGGTGATGTGTTTGCTCATTCCACAAGCTTTACTTTTTAATTAGTCGATTAGCACATTGTGGGTGCTGAAAACTCTGTGCAGGCATTATCGATATTCTATTGTGCTTAACCTCCTGCTGAAATTAACTCTAAAGATATCCCAAATGATTCTTCTATAATACTGCCCTCTCTCTCAACCCACATATTCTGGTACCCTCTTTCCATTGCTATTCCTGGTTCTGAAAATCAAGGAGATGCATGAAGGGTAGATTTATTCTTGTTTCTAGCCAAACCAGGGATTCCACTTGCATCTTGAACTTTATCTAACACTCAATAGTGATTGCCCTGTCTCAAATATCAAAAAAATCTACCAGACTTGATAGGTGTTTATTGTTTGCCACTGCTACACTGAATTAGATTTAGGAAACATGGAACAATCTAAACAAAACTAAAGTGATACATGGAACTTTCACAGATGCTTTTCCTTCAGAAATGACATTGACCTCCCTTGTGGAGAAGGGCTGCATTGGCTGTCCCTCAAATTGAGGTGCTGGATAAAAAATCCTTCAGAATGTAACTCCAGCTAAGGCAACGGTCTGTGTTACACAAGTGTGCTGATGGCAGAACTGGGCAGGAACGTGGGCAGGAAGGAGCCCTGCAAGAAGCACAACACTCTCATCATCAAGGAGAGAAGGACAGAAGAGCTTCAGAATGAGTATAGAATTTAAAGAATTAAGTCTGGGAAATCTATGGGAAAAAGGAATCAATTGCCTCTAAAGTTGATCTGAGACAGACACACACACAGCTCTTAATAAAAATTCAGACTGTTTTGGAGGGTTAATCTAGCAGCAGGTAAAAGCCTAAAGGAATATTTGATTATTGGTGAAATCTGCTGGAAGCATCAGCTACGTTAGTAAAAGTTAAAAGGTAGAACTATACATGGTACCAAAGAAAAGATGGGGAGGGGGTTAGGATGCACTCTAATAAGGTAAAAGCAGAAGCCAAGGATCTGCACGTAGAGGAATAAGAACCAGCTCCTGAGATCAAAGAAGACAAGTTGTGTTCATCACAATTAAGGTTATCGTGATATCCTTAATGTCTCTCTGAGTTTGGTGGTTTACTTGTGGATGTTTCACTCTCTGACTAGGTAACATTATCAGTGCTCAAAGTTCACATCTTTACTGCCATTAATTATGGAACTTTTTATTTTTTGCAAAAGATGATGGATCTTATTTCTAGATTTAAAAAATAGTATTTTTTTAAAAAAATCTGAAGCTCAGACAGTTAAGAACTTTTCAGTGTGAAAAATTTTTTCTTTTTTAGAAAAACTATAATAAAGCATCCATTTCCCTATTTAATTGTAGGATTAGTTGTCTGAAACTATGAGAGGCAAGTCATTAAGTAGTGGCAGATATGGGAGAGTCCCATAAAAAGAACAGCACTGGATTGAGCGATGAAAAAAAAGAATTCATGAAGGGTAATTTTCATAACTTGCTGCAAATTATAGCACAGGCTTTAAAGAAGTTCAAGCAAAACCTATTTTGGCTGACCCTAATAATAAACAGCAGCCATAATGGCTAATGAAATTTTTATATTGAGTGCCAACTATTAGTAAGTAAAGGCAACACAGTCATTAGTCGTTATTAGTCTGACCCGCAACAGATTTATAAGCAGCAGAATAGAATTTCAGGAGACAGGAAGCAGGAAATTGTATGAATCCAAATCAAAGCTTCAGAATGCAAATGTAATTGTGTGGCCTGTTGAAGAATTTTTTCATCAAAACAAGAAAAGAGCTGAAGCATAAATGAGACAGTATCTCCAAAAGTTTAACAAGCAGTTATAACTGAACTTTCCTTTTTAAGATGCAACGGACTCCTAGAAAAGCAAGGCACTCTGTGTCTAATGGGGAAAAAAATTCTATGAATAATACAACATGGAAGCACGTTCCCTTTGCAAACAAACCTTAGTGTAAAAGCATTTCCTCTCACCTAATAAGGTGAGCAAGCATTATTTTTGAGACTTCTGTTTCCAGTTTAAATACTTAGTTTTTATAGCTGATTTTTTTCATGCCTGGGGATAAAGAGCCATTTAGTTTCAGATTTTAATTTCATTTTCCTGTTGCCCATATTCTCTTATTGCCTTTTTGATTTCTTTAGATAAGACACAGCACAAGCTTCACAAATGCAAAATTCATTTGGCAAGTCTTTATAATCAATGGGAGTCCTCTAGTGCCTGCTTCTGATCACAGAACGGGAATTCAAACAACTAAAACAAGCAGCTTGGTCTTTCAGTTAAACTTGATAAACAACCTTCACTTTTAACGTCAGACGTCTAGATTTTCAGGCAAGCAAAAGAAGTTACTTTGAGTATTTTTGATTATGCTCAAATAACTCATTATGAGAGGCTGTTTCATTTCCCTTTAGTGCCAGATACTTGCTTCAAAATAGAATCCTATCCTTGAGCCCTTAGCCTGCCATAAATTCAATCTGATCCAAAGTATCCACCCACTCTTAGTTGGAGTCTTTGATACCCAACTGCCAAGCCAGCCCAGAGCTTCTAATAACTTGGGGCAGCACTAGCATTCTAACTCTGGTTCTTACTGTCATCACTTCCAGCAATGCTTCCCTTGTTCTGGCCACAATTGAGAAACAGGCAATTAACTCTCTGCTTGGGGTGATGCATTTCATTGAGACTATACTTAGCCCATGTGCTCAATCAGCTCAAAGACGGCGTTTGCCTTGGTTTCATCAACAGCTGAGACAGAACACGTTGATTTGCAGATGCTTTTACCTTGATTTCTATAACTGGTGCGGGAAACTTGCCGGCTCGAGGAAAAAGCAACAAGGTTAAAGTGATGATCACAGCAGCAAAGAAAACGAGAATGACTGAAAACCTAAAGAAATAGAAAGTTAATGCAGAAATCATCACAATATTTGAATGCTAGCATCTCTTACTTGTATATAATCTACATTAGTTCTTGCTCATAAGCCAAATATTAGATGTACAGGTAGTCCTTGACCTACAACAACTGAGCTCAAAATTTCTACTGTTAAGCAAGGCAGTTGTTAAGTGAATTTTGTTCCATGATATGACCTTTTTGATGCAGTTAAGTGAATCACTGCAATTGATAAGTGAATCATGAGGTTATTAAATGAATCTGGCTTCCCCCATTGACTTTGCTTCTTGGAAGCCAGCTTGGAAGGTTACAATGGTGATCACATGATCCCAGAACAGTGCAACCGTTTATAAATATATGACAGTTGCCAAACACTCACATTTTGATCGCGTAATCATGGGGATGCTGCAACGGTAATAAGTTTGAAAACTAGACATAATTCACCTTTTTTCAAGAGGTGTTGGAATTTGGGTCACTAAATGAAAGATTGTAAATCGAGGAATTCCTGTATGTCTTTACTTCTGTTGATGAAAAGAAGGTAAACTCTGGGGTTTCCCTTTTTTCCCCTTCCAGCCAGAACATAACATCTTCTGTGAACCCTAAGAACGAGGGCCATCAAGTCCAGGAAGGGAAAAGGAAGAAGGCACAGGAAGTGCCTGGCATCAGGTTATAAAATGACAATTTAACATTTAATTACACATTCTCATATTTATGCTTCTAATCAGTTTAATTACTGAAATTCACAACTCTGAATTGATCTGGGGAGGATCTGTCTTTATGTCAGGATAATCTAGAAAATGAATTGTTATGTCTTATATTAAGTAACATATCTGTCAATTTTCATTTCATGCAACTTTTCAGAGTACCTTTTAATAATCTCTCCTGCAAAATCACATTATTTTTTGACAACGAAGTGCAAAAAATTTTCAAACATTTCTTATGCTTTCATCCAAACAATATTAAAGTGATGTACATTAAACTTCTGCTTTTAAAAAAGGAACACCGTGGTTCTTTAAAGTTTAATAGTCACCTTCAGCATTACAAGAAGTCGTTAATTCAACTACTTCCTAACCTTGTATACTATGAAATACTTACAGCAACCATAAACAGCTCTAGTTTGGCTCTGTTACTGAAATGCTAAATATGCATAAGCAATGTAAGAATGCTCCATTCACTTGAGAAAAATTGACCTATTATTGAACTGCTTATTACAGGCTCTATACTCTCATTGAAATAGCCACTCCAGATATTCAGAGAACAGTTCACTAGCAAATCAGAAAGAGGGGAAAAATAGAAAGTGGAGTTTGCTATATAGCTATAGCACAGAGCGAAGACGTTTCAAATTGTATAAAAGCTTTGCTACTTCAAAGAAAGCTTTACATGTGACACTAATACAAAGAAACAATGCCAGATACAATTAAGAAAATTCACAGAGGACAACGGGAGCATTAATGAGAAACAGCAGGTGCCCAATAAGAGAAATGATTCTGTTGAAAGGATTGTATCACCTTTGTACACAGGTTAGCAGATCAATAGTTAACATGATCAAGTGGGACCATTCCACTGGTCCAGAAACCTGCAACTGCACCGAGGCAGGCTGTGTAAAATGTCCTTGTTAGGGCCAGGCAGTCTTTCATCGCAGCATTTTGCTACAGCCAATTTAAGAGCGCAGAAATTATGTTTAACGGTGGAAAGAAACAGAACCTGGTGAATGAGCAGAAGAAATGCTGGGGAGGCTTCCTGGAGACTGGATCATACTCTGCATATCTAAGAGCTACTGCCCTGACAGGTAAACATGATCATGGATCAACATTAGGAAATTTACAGAGCTAACACTCCAGAGAGTTGAATGATCTAATAAAAAAAAATCACCTCATTGCTGCTCAGGTTACCAGCGTTCATCACCATGAAAAGTCTCTTTGTTAACATCTCATTTGTATTATATAATGTTAAAACAATTCAGGTTAAGAATCTCCAGCATTTGCACAAAAATCTGCTTTCTTAAGCCTTGCCTGAAATTATTTTGAAGAGCAGCATCCCCTCCATTTATTTTGCTAGTAATAGAGATCTCACCTAGCAAGTCCAGCAGCTCTGGATAACAACATGCACAGCAGTAAAGTCAAGACCCAGACCACTGCCAAGATGAATACTCCAGGCCCAACTCCAAGTATTGTACCAGTCATCCTTTTCTCTGAAAGATCAAGAAAAGTTAAAGGAAGCTTCATGAACCACTGTTATGTTTATTTAATGTGTTTGAATTGTTACTTCTTTCTCCATCTGCACCAACACTCCTCTGTTTTCCAAGCTGTATGGCAACCATGGAGGAAAATAAACCAATAGATGCCATTCTTCTTTGTTGCTCCATTTATTTAGGTGCTGTGCTACTACTGGTATTTCCCTTCCTCCAGGATGCACTGGATTGCATAGGTGGGTCACATGCATAAAATTCTCCCAGGCCTGTGAAACAAGGTTAATCAAAACCAGGTAACACATCATGGTTGAAAGACAGGAAGAAAAGGAAGTACAGGCAATCATCAATTTACTATCACAACTGAGGCCAAAATCTCTGTTGCTAAGCAAGACAGTAAAGTGAGTTTTGTCCCATTTTACGACCATTCTTGCCAGTTAAGTGAATCCTTGCAGTTATTAAGTGAGTAACAGGGCTAAGTGAATCTGGCTTCCCCATTGATTTTGCTTGTCAGAAAGTGCAAAAGGTGACCACGTGACCCTGGGACACTGCCAATCATCATAAATACATCCCAATTGTTAAGCATCTGAATTTTGATCATGTAACCATGAGGATGCTTCAATGGTCAGAAGTGTGAAAAACAGTCATAAATCGCTTTTTTTCAATCACTCAATTTTAAACAGTCACTAAATGAATGGTTGTAAGTGGAGATTGCCTGTTGCAAAAATCTGATCATTCTTAGATGGCAGCAAAGAGTCTGTTCATGTGGATTTTTGCAGCCCAGCTCTACAAATCTGAGGAAAAAGCAGCTCAATGGCTGTATTCTTACATTATGTTATCTTATGCATGATTCCCAAATAAATCTGCTGAATCTGCACAATATACTGTACAACCTAAGACTAAACAAGGGTTGCATTCACACAACATGGTGCACCAAAAGACAGCTGGCTGATCTGCTGTATCCAACGCTGTATGTTTTAAATCGGTGCCTCTTCCTGCTTTTAATCATGGCCATTAAAGGGGAAATACTTCCAATTCCCCCTCTCTTCCCCTACCCGAATCAGTCAAAGTGGCCCCCAGGGCACAAACAGGATTAAAAGAAAAGGTTGAAAGAATCAACATTGTAAATCTGGCAGGCAAAGACCATCTTGGTCAAAGCTTTCCCGGTGGAATTCCTGCCTGCCTTAAAGCAACTAAAAACTTTTTTTTTAAATTAAGGATCCAGCCACGAGACAGAAATAATATCAATAAAAATAAAATAATAAAAATAAGCAAGCAGAGGCCTTCCACGCGTGACCGGACCTACCCCCAAACTCCTTGCCTTCCGAAAGCGGGCAATCTTAACCAATCCTGGGAAAGCTTTGAACGAGATATTTCCCGGGAGAGCCAATAAGCGTTGATCTTGCTTTTTCACTATCGGATCGGATTGGCGGTTGCTCGGGGCAACCCGAAGCCTCGCGGAGAGGCAGACGGAGAGAGCGCGAGCGCACCTCCAGTCGCCCGTCTGCCTACGGATTGGTTCAGAGGAGAAGCGGTTTTTCACCAATCGCCTTCGCCCGTACGGCGTGACGTCATCGCCTTTTCTCCCTCTAAATCTGGGATTGTGATCTTTTGGGAGTCTGGCTGGAAAATCGCAGGATTTCTAATGTGAATCAAAGCTTCGCCCCTCGCCTTTTCTCTCTCTTTAATAAGGGAAGTTATTTACAGTATAAATTTATGTCTTTTCCTGCCCAGTTGTTAGCTCACCTGGTTGAAGAAACAAACAAGCACAATTTAATGGCACTAAAATATGTGCTAATTTAGCACTCAGGATTAGCTAAAAAAAAGAAACAACCCACCAAATCCTGGCAAGTCAAAATGAAGCACCTGCAAGAACAGGCTGCAGTAACAGAAATAACAAAAAGAACAGCTTTCTCTCTCTCTCTCTCTCTTTCCAATTGGCGTAGATATTAGCTATATGAAGTTTAAGATGTTTAATAAATTAGAATACAAAATCAGCAACATGAATAGGTGGTTGCCCCCGGCCCCGGGCCAAATTTGGAAAACAGATTCTCCTTTTGGGGGAGGGCTTTGTTAAATGCTTCTGCTAATTGAGATCATTCTTCAATTATTTTTTCACCCCACTTTGGCAAGAACTTGCTTGTGCGGGTGTGTGCATGTGTTAAAAATGTTATAAGAGGAAAACATCTCACACTTGTTTTGCTTGCTTATTTTCAACATTAGAGAACATCTAAAATAGAAACACTTGTAATATCCAATTGAGAAAATTGCCATCTGTCCTTTCTTTTCCCACTTCAGATATGTGTAAGGAATTGCTATCCTTCTGGTTAGTTTTAAACTTCATCAGAACATGTTTAAATAATACAAGATCACAGGAGTTGCTTGGATTCTGAATATCAGTGGCCCCCAATCTTTTGAGCACCAGGGACCGGTTCAATGGTTTTTCTGTGGACCGGAGGGGGTGTGGTTTTGTGTGCTGCCTGCAACCTGCGGATGAGACTTCGCTTGTTTGTGTGGCCTGGTTTCTGGCATGCTGCGGCCCGGTGCCAATCCACAGACTGGGGGTTGGGGATCCCTGCTCTATATTATCCCCAGGCCTTCTCAAAATGGAAAGAATTCACTTTCTCCTTCTTGCATTTATCAATCGCTCATTGCTAATCATATGTGAAATATATGCTACTTGGAGTAGAGGGTTACAACAGTGGGAGAACAGTCTGGCTTCTTGGAAGAACCTGGGACCAGCCATTTAGGATATGAGAGGTGGCGCAGTGGTTAGAGTGCAGTACTTCAGCTGACTGCTAGTTCAGCAGGTCAGCAGATCAAATCTCACTGGCTCAAGGTTGATTCAGCCTTCCATCCTTCCAAGGTGGGTAAAATGAGGACCCAGATTGTTGGGGGCAATATGCTAATGCTAATGCAATATGCAATATGCTATATGCTAACTTTGTAAACCGCTTAGAGGGGGGCTGTAAAGCACTATGAAGTGGTATAGAAGTCTAAATAATAATAACAATAAGATGCTGGATTAATTAGAACTTTGATACGATACAGGTGAATGCCAGAGCCAATGGTAGCATAGAAATGGAAGGCATTGAACATGGGTAGTTGAATCATTAGCAAAAGTATTTTAGCAGTTGCAGTCAAGCAGATGAGCAAAAGAAAAACATAGATTTATTTCATATGTAAGGAACAGGTGGGTTCTACTTATCTTTACTTATCTTTATGCACGCTCTTCTGCATAAGTGCAGAAGCATTTTGATGATATCGGGGTCGGTGGGCGGAGCCTCCCGCCGGTTTTACTACTGGTTCTATAGAACCAGTGCGAACCGGGGGCAACCCACCACTGGTAAGGAACCAAAATATAGCGATAATCTTTTATTTTACGCCCAGTAAATACCCTCTGATCCTTGGGCAGATTAAACCATAGAGCAATAAAACATCATCATTATATAGATAAAAGTAATAACATTTATTACAACAAAGCAACAGATGAAAATTGCAATGAAACCCATATCAGCCAATAAAACAAATGTGTTGCTCTTGGGAAGATATTCAGAATTTTCAGTGCTAATGCTGAAGAGGGCCTTTACTGTATTCTCTATTTATTCATTTTCCTAGGGTGCTTGGAAATGTCCTCAAATGAATATCTCTGAATTTATAGGTAAATGAATGTCTGAAATGGTATAGGCAAGGGTTTCCTGCCTCAGGAGGGGGGTGGACTAGAAGGCCTCCAAGGTCCCTTCCAACATTGTTATTCTATATTAGCAAATTTTCTTTTCTTTTATGTAAACTGAGAGCATATGCACCAAGACCAAGAGCATATGCACCAAGAGCCTTGGTGGCACAGCAGACTAAAGTGCTGTTAAGTAACACCAGCTGCCTGCAATTACTGCAAGTTCAAATCTCATCAGGCTCAAGGTTGACTCAGCCTTCCATCCTTTCGAGGTAGGTAAAATGAGGACCCGGTTTGTGGGAGCAATAAGCTGACTTTGTATAAATAAGAACACCGCTTAGTGGGGGCCGAAAGCCCTACTAAGCAGGTATATACAAAAGTATGAAGGCTATTGCTTAACGCATTGTAAGCCGCCCTGAGTCTCCGGAAAAGGGCGGCATATAAATCGAACCAATAAATAAATAAATAAATAAATAAGACAAATTCCTTGTGTGTCCAATTACACTTGGCCAATAAAAAATTTGATTTTATTCTATTAGCAAGTTGAGATGTGATTTTTGTCACTTCATTGTTGCTTGATTGTTCTCAGGCAGATCACTTCAGCCATCAAGTGGACTTCCTAAATGTAATTGGACCTAAAACTGTTTAGAGCTTTCTCAGTAATACCAAAATGTATGTTAAAATTGAGGAACCCCTTTTCACACTCCAAATCTTTAAAGGAAGACATTTCTTCTTTCACCCAAATTACAGCAAAGAAGAACACAGGGGAGGAGAAGAATCTGAGAAATTTGTGACAGCATTTCAGCTATGAAGTAGAACTCATTATACATTCCAGATTAGCAACTTTCTTCCTGAGTGATCACTTAGGAGTGAAAACATTCTACTGATAAACTTTCCCATTAATGCAGCTTTCCTCTTGATTTGACTGCCAAAATTATTGGAACATAAGCTGATAAAGCATCTCATATTTAGAGGGTGGGACTGTAGTTCAGAGGAAGACCAGGTCTGTATGCAGAAATTCACAAAGCCCTTGCTATTTCTGATCTAAAAAAAAGCTCAAGCAACAGATGATTGGATTGACCTTTGAAGAATCAATGTCTTGAAATTGAAACCACAGAGAACTAGAAAGCAAACAACCTGATTCAACATATAGTGAACTCCTGATGCGTTCCTTAAATTGCAAAATAATAATTTGTTGTATCTATTTTTCTTTCACAGTCACATTGATAGTTACATTGTTGGTCTCAAAACTTTAAAAGTTAGTATATACCATTGAAGCAGGGGTGAAATCTACTTACCTTCCCTACCAGTTCGGAAGTGTGTGCATGCATCATGTGCAATTTTGGACCCTCTGCGCATGTGCAAAGCCTTCTGTGCATGTGCAGAGGGTAAAAAACAGGTTACTTTCTGGTTAAAACCAGGAAGTAACAATGTCCAGGTGGGTGGGTGGAGCCTTGCGCTGCTGCTGCTACCGGTTCTCCGAACCACCCGCCACCGCCACTACCAATTCAACCGAACTGGTACCATTTCACCCCTGCATTGAAGCATAAAGTCAGTAAAGAGAATGGGTAGAGAACCCAGGCATAAAAAATGCATTCCCTATACTTAAAGCCTGTCTATGGCAGAAAAAATAGGTTGCCAAAGTGTTTGTGTGTAGAGGGGAATACTGGGAAGATGACGAGAAATAAATGCAAGCAGAATTCATCATGATGATGAGGTCCCCATAATTAGGGCTAGGGGCATCTCCCTAAAAGATATTATGTGCTGAAAACTGGCCCTTGACAATTCTACCACAATAGAAAGTATGTGTAAAAACCTGCCATTTTATAGTCTGTATGAAGCACAAACAGGTTGTGTAAATGTGTTTGAACTTCAGAATCAAGACTGAGTTGCAGTTTTATTTCTCATAAGTCTGAGATGGTTTTGTTTGGTGACAATGTACAGTTTGAATTTGTTTTTGCCAACATTTCATGAAGTCTCCACGGCCATTTTGGTGTATTTGGAAGCTTTCTTATCTCTTGTTTTATGCATGTTGGGACATGGCATGTTGCATCAACCACAATCGGCAGTGAAATGGCAATGTCCAAAAGTCCCTGATCTCAAACTACTTTTGACAATGAACAACACTAATTTGATTGGGAAGGAACAAAAATCATTGGTCATACCAACACCCACCACAAACGAGAATTTATTGAAGCTTGGTATTTTCCCAAAGGAGCAATTAGCAAGCATATTGATTTACATCCAGCATATGAATCTGTAAGAAATCAGACCATTCGAACAACCAATCAACAAGAGAACCAATCAGCTGCTCAGAATTTAAATATAGCTCCAAACCAGTGGTGGGTTGTTCCCGGTTCGGACCGGTTCGCAAGAACCAGTAATAAAACTGGCGGGAGGTCCCGCTCACTGCCCCGGATGTTGTCATCAGTGATCTGCGCATGTGCAGAAGCTTCTACGCATGTGCAGAAGCAAGGTGCACAGATGAGTGAAGCAAGCACGTGCATGAGATCCCATTGCGAACTGGTAGTAAAGGTAAGTAGAACCCACCCCTGCTCCAAACAAACAACCAATCATATGCCCAACTGATTACATAAGCCATATATAATAAGCTAAAGAGGAATAGGACAAGAAAATCCTGATGATGATGTTACCTAGTCTGGTCACGAAATGTTCAGAAACTAAATTGAAACAAGCTTGGAGAGCAAACCTCTGCCAAAATCTAAAACCTCAGCTACAAGTATTTTCTATTATTTCAAAACCTTATCATAGTTCAAAATCTTAGCCAATTCAACTAGTAGTGTTTAATCTTTGTTGCTTCTCTTGCTGCAAATTGCATTTGTATCTGGAACGCACACATACAGCCTCTACTCTGAGAAGACCTCTTCACTGGGCTAGACTACTAAATGGGATATAAGAGCAGGATATATGCCATGATGATGATGATGATGATCTATTCTTGCTTTGACAGAGCACAACCCCATTCTGATCCTATTAATGGATTAAATCATGATTAATTAAATTAATTAAATGATTTATTAATTAAATCGTGATCATACCCCATTCTGTTCCCATTAAGTTGCTTCCTCATCTGCCTTCCTACCATCCTCTGAATTTGGTACAGTGGAAGTGAAATAGACTCCTAGATCTGGATGATTCACTTAATCAAAAACTGCCAAATATCCATTTAACTATGAACAATTTATCCTCCCCGCTGGGTGAATTTGCCAGTACTTCATAAGAAATGCCCTGAGGGATTGACTGCCTCATAAATGCTAATATTAAGACAGCTTCAAGAATAAGTCTTTACTTTGTGAAAAATGAAGGATTATTTTGACCTTTTTCAAATTTACACAGGCAATGAATTTCTCTGTTGGATAGATAGTTCTTTTAATTTAAAGTTCTATTCCCTAAAATGAAGGATATCAAGTTTCTGAATATCAGATCTGGAGATTTTTACTGCAGTTTTCTGAAGACCAAGCCTCTTATCATCACCTCTCACTACAATAAGAACCTTGCCATTACAACTGAATGAGGAACCAAGCTCCTTAATTCAGGCTGAATAGATAACACCCATCTCTAAAATCCTCAAATTGTATTGTGACAACAGTTGCAGACAGTAAGGAAGATGACCTTGATAGAGATGCAAGCTCCGTTACCAAAGTGATGAGGACTAAAAAATATCTAAAGTTCATAATAGGAAGATAGTAGTAATCACAAACAGCTCAGGCAAACTGTTCCGTAATTTACAGGAGTATAAGAAAGGGCAGGAGGTATATCTTAAATTAAACTTAGAAGAGTCTGATATTATAACTAATCTCATTAAAGTAGTTTTAGTCTTTTTGTGGAACTGATTTTTTTGGTTTGGTTTATCTATGGGGCTGACAACAGTAGTACACAGGAAGCCATCCTGTCTACAATGTGGAGACTTTGCAACCATGCCATGGTTTTCACATTACACTGGATACATGTAAAATCTCTGCTACGATCACCCTGTATTCATGCAGAACCAGCTTTTCACGTAGCTCGGTGACATCCAACGTACAGTGATGTTTGACTCAGAACAGGTCTGCTCATCGCTGTCATGTTGTGCTCAATAAAGAAAGCTATCAGGTGGACAAGGCTACTCATACATAGATAGTTCTTCAAAGTGATCTGCATGTTTAATTTTTATTAAAATGAGAAAGCTACGAATGTTTAGCCTTGACAAAAAATATGATGTTGTAGAGGAGCACAGAGATGGCCTTGAAGAAGAAATTCAAGCATTTATTAAGCCCAGATAGATAGGAGAGGAAGAAGAAACTCAAGATTGCCCCATCTTGATTGTCTTTAGTGTAAGAAGGGAGAACAGGAACCTCTAACAGGCCTTCAAGAGTCTCTTATTATTCCCTGTAACCAGGGCCGGATTTAGATGAAAAGAGGCCCTAGGCTATTCCACTTATGAGGCCCTTTCACCTATAGTGAAAGTGTAATTTTAATTTTGCTAACAATTTGAATGTAGGCCCCTCTTGATCTTGAGGCCCTAGGCTGAAGCCTAGTTAGCCTATAGGAAAATCCGGCCCTGCCTGTAACAAGAAAGAAGAGTTACATTCATTTGTATGATGTCTGTTTCCTGATATCTTCCTCTGAAGGGCAGATAGGAGTGGAGGAAAGGTATGATGGCAGACTTCAAATACCTGAACAGATCTCACAGAGAAAGTGTCAAGGCTTGTTTTATACAGTATACAGGCAGTCCTTGACTTACAACAGTTCAACAACACTGAAAAATGTGACATATAGCCGTTTTTCACAGTTACAACCTTTTCAGCATCCCCATGATCATGTGATCAAAAGTCAGATGCTTGGCAACTGGTTCATATTTATGATGATTGCATTGTCCCAAGGTCATGTGATTCCCCTTTTGCAACTTTCTAACAAGTGAAGTCAGTGGGGAAGCCAGATTCATTTAACAACCAGATTACTATTTTATCAACTGCAGTGATTCATTTAACAATTGTAGCAAGATAGGTTGTAAAATGGGGCAAAACTCACTTAATAAATGTCTCACTTAACAACAGAAATTTTGGGCTCAATTGTGGTCATAAATCAAACACTACCTGTAATTTCCAAGAAAGACATGGAATAATAATCTCAAAATACAAGACTACAGATTCAAGCTGTCAATGTTAGGAAAAACTCCCTAAAATAAGTACAGTTCAAGAATCAAATCAAGAAAAGAGGTGACTTTCCTTCACCAGACATACAGTTAGTCCTTGACTTACAACCAGTTTTGAGCCAGTTGCCAAGTGTCCAAATTTTGACCATGGGGATGCTGTAACAGTTGTGTGAAACATGGTCATAAGTCACTTTTTCAATGCCATTGTAACTTCAAACAGTCATAAATGAATAGTTGTAAGACGAGGACTACTGGTATTCAAAAGATTGACTCAGTTCTAACCAGCCTTTCCAGCTCCCTGAACCCATTTTTGTTTTAACCTTTTCTTTTGCAACACAAGGCCTAAAATATCTAAAGGTTCTCTTTATTATCACATCATAAAGAAGAAAACTCCGTGCTACTATTGAGGGGAGATTCTTCTATGTTTATCTTCTTTTGTTGTGGTCTTAATCAAATGCTGAGCTTTTAGAACACCTGTAGAACAGAAGTAGAATAATAAAATAATTAAAGCTGGGCATCTTTTTAAAAATCACAACAGCTGATGCTACATCTAAATAGAAGCGTTATGCTGACAGAAAATAGAAGACCGTGGTGCTAATTTTAACAAAGCAGAATAAATACAGTATTAACATAATATACTTGCGTTCGCTTCTTAAAATGGCATTTCACAGTGGTTCCATGCATTTCCAGATTGCAACATTTTATGATATTTATTTATTTATTAATCAAATTTCTATACCGCCCTACTCCCGAAGGACTCAGGGCGGTGAACAGCCAAGATAAAATACAGATAATACAAATATTAAAAATCCCTTAAAATTATTAAATATTTTGGCTGAAACACAGATTAAAACACCCAATTTATAAAATCACGAATTAAAAAATTTAAAAGACGAGAGTTAGGCCAGGCCAGCCTGCTGAAATAGAAAAGTTTTGAGAGCACGGCGAAATGTGTATATTATCTACAGCACTGAATTTACAATATTTTGAACCATAGAATGTTTCACTTTCGCCTTAGCAATTTAACTATAGTGACCTGCACAGAAGTAGTAATTGTTGTATATGTCTATTTAACAGATCAAGCTTTATCTATTTTATCAATTATCTAGCCAACTTCCCTAATATTAATTGACGCTTAACCTTCCTAATTTATTGGATATCTAGAAATTAAAAGGCGAAGTTTTTCCCTGATAAACCCCTTGTTTTAAAACATTTTAGATTGAAGCAGCAGTGAAATCTGGTTGGATCTATCCAGCTCATGTGAACCGGTAGCGCCAGTGGCGGGAGATTCCGGCCACCCGCTGGGACGTCATTACGTCCCATTTTTTACCGTCTGCACATGAGCGCATACGCAGAAGAGGCGCGCACGCTCCCATTCCCGAACCGGTAGTGAAGGAAAGTAGATTTCACCACTGGATTAGAGGTTAATTTTTTCTCTTCTAAGATATATAATTCTTAGTAAAAAAAAACTTGCAAAGGACATTTTTTCTAAGATCAAAGACAATTCTAGGTAATTGATAGATTTTGTATTTTTAAAAATGGAGAGCAGCTAAATAATAGGCCTCAGTTAAAATACAAACTATTCAGAACAAGCAATTATTGTTTCTTTACCCCTGAAGATTTTAAAAAAATATATACCAGAGGAATCTGAAACCATCACAGTACCTAGTATATTAATCAGTTCTGGACATCTCAAAAATCTTCATGCTAGTTTGTGACATTTTGATAGTCCAGATAAAAGAATGCTGTAATGGAAAGTTTGAAATTCAAGAGAATATCATATCTGGATTGCAATGGGCGACCCTAAAATTTGAAGGAGAAAAAGCTGGAGAAGGAAGGACAAGAGTAATAATTTTCACTGTTTATATCTTTGTAATTGCTTCTTACTTATTTGAACTTGCATCAAAACCCATCAAGAGATCATTGTTAGAATATCCATCACTGATTTCCTCATAATGAAGGTTAGTAAAGAATTTCAGATAACAAAATCAATGCTAGAAGGAATATTGGGCATCAAGTTCAATCCTGTTCTACCGTAAGTACAGGACCTTTACTAAACTCCCTAATAAATATCAATCCATCTTCTGGACATTTGATTATCCAAGAGTCTCCAAACTTGGAAACTTTAAGACTTGTGGACTTCAACTCAGAATTATTCAGCCAGCCTGAAGAAGAACCATTCTTCCAAGACTTCCTGCTCTCTTCTAAACAACTTATATTTTAACTGTTCCCTATTATTTAACTAAAACATTCTTCCTTTAATTACCACTCCTAGTTCTAGCACTACCTTTAGAATAACAAAGAAGTCTATTCCACCTGAAGGTGGCCATTGGCTTCAGAGCATTTAGCATCAACCTGAGTATATAAAACCTTAAGCCCATGCTGTCCCCATTTGTCGTTCTCCCACTCTGCTGGGGATGTGCAAAGGTATAATCACAATCAGCACAAGGTGATCAAAGAACTGATTTAAATCTCTGCAAAGGATGCTTTAATTAACGGAAATTGTATGGAAAGAAAGTGAGTTGAACAAAAATAGCAAATTGCATTGTTACCGTCTAAGCAGTTTGCATTTAGAGGAGCAGCATCTCGTGCCTTCAGAAAAGGAGAGGAAATGCCATTGTGTGAGCTGTTCAAAAGCTCTGTCCTTGCTCCTTTTTTTGTGTTTGTTTGTTTAATACATCTCTATAATCTGAGTCCGGTTGCCTGCCCTCCCCGCCTCCCCAAAGTAAGTTTAAGAGAGAGCCGGAAATAAAATTGGGAGCCTTCTGCATTGTGTTTTAACGAAAGCAGTTTTGATATGGTGATGGGATTGTGGGAGAGAATTCATTGTAAATCTTCAAAGTCAAGCAAAGACTTATTTGCTGTTATTCCTAGGTCTGGTTTCTTTGTTCTTGCCACTTATCACAAGACCTTGAATAATGAGAATGTTCTAGCTATTTATTGTAGACGATGGGGGAAAAAACGACAGCAAGGGAATAGGCAGGAGAAACCAAAACATCTAACAAACAGAAAGCTCCCAGACATCCATAGTGTATTCAGCTGTTGAAATAATATTAACTATTTCTCTTACATCCTCAGCTGATGGATCCTTAATGGAAAGCAGAGGATGAATAGTAGATGTTCCAGATTTTATTCAAGTACAGCTCCCAGCATTCTTCGTCATCTGCAAAAGTGGATGGGAATGAAAGTTGAGGAAGATCTGGAGGCCATAGATTGCACAACCTAAGAACAAAATTTATAATTCCAAAAGTCCATAATAGCAAAATATCTGTGGTTGGATAGGCCTACTCACTTATCAAAATAATAGGCATGAAGAGCATGGCTAATCAGAGTACCTGCATTCAACTAGTGAAGCTAAAAGGAAAGTTACTAGCCCAATTACCTAAGAATATATACAAATGTATGCACACTGAAAAAAAAAAAAGCTGAAAAGGTTACTGCTCTCATCAAGCAAAGAACATGATGGATGAAAAAAGGAGGTTGTTCATAGTGCCACATTGAGGAACTTAAAGGTTTAAGAGAAAAGATGAGTTTTAGATCTGAAGGAAAGAATAGAAGGAGCAAAAAAATCATAGAAAAGGAAGGAAGGAAGGAAAAAGATACAAGAGTTGATCAAAACTTCCAGAGACCTTTGAGATACCACTTTTTAGGGCCTGACATGACTAAGATTTCACCTCCTTTCTTAGCACTTTAATATGCTTATTAGACAAATCCAATGCATCCCACCTATTGTAAGCCATTTGTGCCATGGGGCACGATGGCTCAGTGATTAAAGATGCTGAATTTGTCAGCTGGAAATGGCACTTGAGGGGATGTCCCAGCTTCTACCAACCTAGTAATTAGAAAGCATGCAGATGTGAGTAGATAAATAGGTACCACTTGGGTGGGAAGGTAAGACCATTCCATATGCCTCGGTGTACAGTCATGCTGGCCACATGACCATGGAAGCGTCCTTGGTCAACCCTGGCTCCCTCAGGTAGGAAAGGGGAGATAAGCACTGCTCTCTAGAGTCGGACACAACTGGACAAAGGAAACCTTTACCTTTACCTTAGGATCCATATCAGCCAGGACTGTCTGATTCAGATTGGAATGAATTTATTTCTCCCTCTACCATGGCTTATTTAAAACCACAGCAAATGGATATTCTCTTGTAACTAATTTCAGCCCTGCAGAGTTTACGCACAGTCTATTTTGTTATTAATGGTGACTGAGTGTGTTTCCATTAAAAAAAAAGCTTTTTGGAGATCCAAAGATTCAAACCAAAAGTCCTAAGAGATAAGAATCAAAGTCACCTAACTGGCTGGACTAATTGTTCACTTTTGCTTTCTCTTACATGTGAACTTTGGCAGTCCATCAAAGTTATAAACAAGTTAATTTAATTAATTAAATTTAATTTAAAGGCATAACATTTCATTGGCTTCTCCAACATGCTTTAAAAGTGTTAGAAGGCCAGCAAATTGCCCCATAACTGATTGGGGAATTCTGAGAATTGTGTGTTTTAGCTCATCTGAAGGGAATTACCAGGTTCAAAAAAGTTGAGGTTGTGAATGCTACCATTGACCAGATATTTTCAGACTAGAGTTCCCATTATCCATGGACTGAGAGCAGTCCAACATCTGCATCACTAGTGATTCTTCATGCTGCTCCCCACTTGACAGTCCTCCAAAGGAATACATGATATCTTCTAAACTTTTTTTTTTGCACAAAGATATAACTTTGGAATTTATAGTTTTAGAAGTGCCATTCTGGCTTGATCATCAAATATTAGAACAAGAAGAAACAAGCACTGATGCAAATAAAGAAACATTCTGCTGCTGATTTAAAGACTAGTGAATTGCTAAATATTTTTATTAGCTGCTTGCTGGAACTAATTTCACGCCCTGTAGATATGGTGCTTAACTGGAAGTAGCGTTAAATTATTCTCTTCTAAAGACTAACTTCTCTTTGCCTTCCCAAAGCAACCACAAGGTGGCGGGCTGTCTCTCTAGCTCTCAAAGAGGCAGCCTAAAATCAGAGTTCCATATGGACCACTTTGTCTCCCAATTAAAGCAGAGAGCTTTGGGATAAGGAGACACAGAGAGAAGCACTGCATTCCTCTCTTTCCATAAATTAAGCCTTTAATTTCACATAAATTGTAAATTCTAAGCGGTTCTATTTCCCCCTTATTGTTTTCTCCAAAGTATTTTCTCCCTACAGGCTTTGCCACCTGCAACAACAGACATCGTATTAATATTCAGGGTAGAGGAACCTGAAGCTCTTGAGATGTTGGTGAACTACAAATCCCAGCAGCTTGGCACAGTGTGCTCAGTAGTGAAAAATGGTAAGCATTGCCATTCAGCAACATCTTGGAGGCCACAAATTTCAGCTGAGATATTCTTAGAACACCAGCTAGTACATAATCGGCATTCCCATTTTGATCTCATAATAGATCATAGCCATTGCCAAGGGAACAATGCAAAGGCTTTTCTGGCAATGTCCAGATAAACTAATGAATGTGTTTGTTGAATGTTTAGAAAGAAGTGGAGGCAGAAATGATCAGAATGCAGTGAAAGACTCTACATGGTGATGGGCTATGTGATATTATTGAGAAAAGGCACAACAAGTTAATCCAGTCATCCTAGAAGCCTCTTCTGGCAGTGTCTTCATAATCACCCAGCAGTGCAGACAATATGCAGGTTTCACATAACTGTTTGTGTGTGTGTGTGTGTGTGTGTGTGTGTACACGTGGAACTACAGATTCAACATATTCTAATACTGTAATACAAATATAAATTAGAATTATTGGAGAAAACTGCAGATTCACTGTATAATGGGAAGGGAAGGGAGAAGTGAAGAGAAGAGTAAAAAAAATATTCTAGAAAATATATAATAATCACCTAATTAACTTAATAAATACTTTCTGCATAAATGAAGCAGAATTTATTAGAAACATCTGAGTTGAACCAGAAAGTCCTCAATGGATTCTGAGGTATTCAAATTTTTGATCAACACATTTATGCTCAGGCCCAATGGCTACCATGGACTGGATTGATCCATCGCAGGCCATGCTGCGAATCTCAAAATGCATTGACAAGTCACTAACTTCACCAGCCATAAAGCACCCAATTACCTCAAACCAAAATGGTGGGTGTGCTTCCTACCACTACCTCTTGGCCCTGGGCCTGCTTCCTACTTGCACCTTTGTTTTATTCTTTCTCTTTTCTGCCTTAGATAGATAGACACACTTAGACAACCCTGAAGTGTATTGAAAATGAAGATTATACTAAAGGCTGTCACTTTGGTTTGAAGCATCTCAGTTGCTTCTACTTTTCTTTGTTCTCCATTGTCATGATCATCATCTATTTTCAGATAGATGATGGAAAAATTAATGGGCACTGAGAGATGTGTCATCCTAATTGTGGGGTGCTTTTCCTAGTGTAGTTTGCCTGGTACCCTCTTGCTTGCTTTTTCAGTCAAAAACATGCTTGTGGTACCAGGTCATTTTAAACATCTCTCCACTTGTTGTTTTACTCCCTGTGGCCCCAAACTGGTGATCTTGACCAACTGCACTTCTGTCCTGCATGTTTATTATATAGTTGATTTTTCTTTCTGGTTTATACTTTTAATCCCTTCTGCAAGTTACGTGGAGAACTTGGCAGTCGGGCGTCCGATAATAATAAATAATAAATAAAATGCATCAATTATAAACCTGTTAATTAAAACAGTGAAGCCTCTGAGGCATCTGTGACATTTGCCCTGAGCTTCCCATATTTGTTTTTCTTTAAAAAAACTGGCCAGATGTTTATCCATTCTAGATATCTAAGACTAGCCACTGTTTTAATTTGCCTTTCCACAACACCCAAAGTTAGCATCTTCTAGAGTATTATGGGAAATAAATGGTGGCTGATTTTCATCACCTTAGGACTTCCGAGAAAGCTGCTGTTTTTCACCCTTCCTGCCAAGTGTTTTTGAAATAAATATTTATTTATTTCCTGCCTTTATTGTTTTGACAAATAACTCAAGGTGGTGAACACATCTAATCCTCCTTCCATCTCCTATTTTCCCTACTACAACAACCCTGTGAGATTAGTTGGGCTGAGAGTGACTGGCCCAAAGTCATCCAACTGGCTTTCATAGCTAAAATGGGACTAGAACTCACCATTTCCTGGTGATTGGCTCTAAGTCTTTCAACCGGCTTTCATGACTAAGACAGGACTAGAACTCACCATCTCCTGGTGATTGACCCAAGGTCACCCAACTGGCTTTCATGGCTAAGGTGGGACTTGAACTCACAGTCTGGTCCTTTCTAGCCTGGTGCCTTAACCACTAGACCAAATTGGCCATGGAGCCCCTTCATTTTAACCAATCCCCCTTCAAACCTTGTGATCAACCTATTTCAGTTCTACTTCCAATATTGCCATTGTTCCTTGCTGTATTTTGTGTTTTCAATGAAAGAAAATATTAGTATTGTTCGTAACCAGCTCATGTTCAAAACCAACATGTAAGCAAAAATAACACCAATTATTCATTGTGATAGAGAGAGATTCCATCACATTTATTTTCAACGTTGGGCACAATGCCGGCTTAATTTTCCTCACAATTTTTCTTTGCGATTTGTATTTGTTCTTTAACTGGCCCAAAGATAAGATTTTGCCCTTTTCTAAAGCAAACAACAAGGAAAAGAAAGTTCAAATAATATAACAGTTTTGTAATGTCTCCTCTGGGGATAAGTATATTTCCCCCTTTCTCACAGGAGCTCATTTTGTATTATCTTTCTCTTGCTGATGGCGGAAATCAATTTTAATAGAACTGACAGGAAATGAGGATGTAAAACTTCAAATAGAACAAATCCTGCAAGGTTCAGAAATAATAAAATGAGATATGAAGTCATTTTAAAAAAAAGTTTAAAAAATCTGCTCTCTTCAAACACACAGCTTTCTGGAAAGAACTAACACAATGGCTTTTGCTGACAATGTCTCTCCAATAGTTTAGCCAGAATATGATATTATAATGATAATGTACTGCAGAGCTGAAATATAAGAATATAAATTGGAAGCAACTTTTTTAGGACAAGGATAATAATTTCCTATTTGAGGAAGGCTGTGTGTTTGTGAGAGAACATATATGGTAAGAAACATCACTTGATTTATCTTATGTATAAATAAGAAGAAAAATCAGTGGATCTATTCCTCTGCTTCTGAGTCACATTGTCAGATACTGCAAGAAAAACCTTACACAATTTTATTCTTCAGATTTTGCATCCTTATCACCCTCAACACCCAGGGCCTTGGAATTCAGACTGAATATTTGGAATTTTCTTATTCCCAGTGCCTGATCTAAATAGTCCAGCCAGAGTTTGGATTTCTGCCATGTTTTTGATACAACCAATTACAAATCATGCTTACATGAGTGTGTATTACGATCCCTTAATATGTGAAGGTGGGGGAGAGAGAACAGAAAAGTTAATAGAGAAGATTAATTTCAGAGCAAATCAAAATTAATCACCTGCAATAGGTCCGTCTGAAGAATATCCCTCTTGAAGCACTGCCATTTCCTCTGCATCCTTTGGGGGGATTAACTGGAACATGTGTGTAATCAATAGTTTATAGTGTTTCGAGGCACGATATATTAGGGCTTAGTAAGGACATGGAGAAAGGCATGATTCAGGATCAGTTTCGATGTCTTATTATTGGATATTAGATTTACAAGAATGCTTCCCACCTGCATTTTCTTTTCTTTTTTCTTTTTTTTTAATTGAAAAAGTTTTTCAAATACAAATTTTCCCCCCTTTCCCCCCCCTCCTCCCTAACCCCCCTCCCCCTCCCCTCCCCCTGTGGCTTCTTCAAAATAAAACCCAAATTCATAACAGATTATATAATACTTTACCATCCCCTTGCTCCATCCCCCATACGCTGACCCTTTCTTTCTAATAATATTATTATATCCCCCTTATACTATACATTTCAAAATAACATTCTACTATAACATTATATAATAACTCCTAATTTAGCATAATAATATTATTATATCTCCCAGTTTAGCAATTTCTGCTCATAATCTACCCTTTTTCTCCCCCCCATACATATATCTCTTAAGTCAAATCTTTTATGTATATTAATATAACATTTCAAAGCAACCTTCCACTATAAGACTATATAATAATTCCTAATTTAACATTGATTCAACTCATAGTCTGCCCATTTCCTCCACCCCCATAGATATATCTCTTAACTCAAATCTTTTACATATATTCATATCTAAACATAATATCCCTTTTCTTAAACTAAACAATCAATAAGCTAACCTGTCTCCACCCACTTTCCTACAGGACTACCATACTTAATAATTCTTAATATCTTTATTCTTCTGCCCACACCACTAAAAAGTATTCCCTTATGTAAATAAAATCCTCTTAAAATGACTTTAAGCTTGTAATCCATATGATATCTTCTGTAATGTCTTTCAGCTGGATTGTTAACTCCATCACCCATGTTAGGGTAACATCACATCCTAATTCCAACAGTATGTTCGGTATCTTCATTTAACATCTGCCCCCATCAATAGCAAATATCTTCTAAAAAAAAACAACAACAACAACTACCCGAGTGACTTTATATTTGTATTCCATATAGTGTCTATAGTAGTGTCTTTCATCTAAATTATTAATTCCAACCACCGTAATAGGGTAACAATCAGATCATCTGTGTGCCCCAATCCCATAACTCTCTTGCCTTGTAGCTCAGCATAAACGTAGTGCATTTGTCAAAGAATCCAAAAAAAGATAGTTCCAATCCATTCAGTTTAAGGCCCTTTTCACATCCCAAAAGTACAGCACTGCAGAGGTCTGTCACTCTCCTCAAGATAATATAAACCAATACTTTGCCTCAGCTATCTTTTCATATATTCAATCATCTCTTAGATAACTGGCATTACACTGTTGTTTAGTTTAAAAGTTTTTGTTTTTGTGAGACCTGCTTCTTCTTTTCTTGACTTTTTGTGGGTTAGATCTCCATCCTGATTTCCTTTCTATAAATTGTATATCAACTGTTTGGTTTTCATGCTGATCTATAACTTGATCTTGTTGGTTTTGCTTTTGTGGCTTAAATCTCCATTCTGGTTCTATAAATTGTATATCAACTGATTGATTTCCATGCTGGTCTGTAACTTGATAAGTCATCACATTAGAATCCAGAGCTGCCTCTCTTGTATTTATAAATAGTCCAGCTGAGACCTCTGAAGGAGAATCCAGAAGCGGCTCATCTACAAAAACCTCTGTAACTTGTTGTTTTTCCATTACTTCCATCTCCTTCTGCTTATCCTGAATTTCTATCTCTTGTTGATTTTGCTTTTTGAGAACCTTGTAGTAAAATT